CATCCTGTAAGAATCATTCATGCTGCAAAACATTTATTTCTGTTGTATGATTGTCTACATATGAAGAATCCATTATTTCTCTTGTCCTAGTGATGGAGAGCTGAGCTATTTTTAGTCTTTCCCAATGCAACCTTGTCGTTTTGTATATCACAGTGGGCTGGTTCTCTGCTGAGACTGTACATAGGAATTATCTCTCTGGGAAACCTTTTCAACTAACAAAAACAAACCTACCTCCAGGGGTGCTGGTGCTGATTTAAAGTCTGAGGTCAGGGCTTTGGGGGAGTGGGTTATTTATTGGAGACAGGTCTCACTGTGTTTTCAAGGCTGGCTTCAACTCCTGGCTCACCTGACCCCTCTGCCACAGTCTAAGTATCTGGATTACTTGCCACAGCATCCTGTTTTATTTGTTTGTTTGTCAACAGGGGTCTCACTTTGTGGCTCAGGCTGGCCTTGAACCCACTATCTGCTTGCTTCTACCTCCCAAATGTTGAGTGTACAGGTGTGTGCCACCATCGAGAGCTTTTTTTTTTTTTTCCTGTGCATTGGTGTTTTGCCTGCATGTATGTCTGTGTGAGGGTGTCAGATCCCCTGGAGCTGGAGCTCCAGACAGCTGTGAGCTGCCTGCCATGTGGGTGCTGGGAATTGAACCAGAGTCCTCTGGAAAAGCAAACTGTGCTCCTAACTGCTGAGGCATCTCTCCAGCCCCCATCTATCTTGGGCTTTGTTAGACTTATTTTTAAGACAAAAAAAAAAAAAAACAAAAAAAAAAACACCACTAATATTCTGTCTGTGTGGAGAATCATTATTCTAGACTATATACTTAGTACTAGAATACCTAAAAATGTTTACTTCCAGTTTTCTTTGATAGTTTTCTAGTGTGACTGCACCTTGCTAGTACAGCAAAGCTGCACACGCGCACACACACACACACACACACACACACACACACACACACACACCCTGCCCTCCAGCTGTGTGGAGATGCCACATCCCTAGCAGCACCTGACATTGTCAGACTCCAGTTTATCTTTCACAGGATTTTAAATTTGTATTTTCCTGCTCAATAATTAATTTTGCTGGGTGGTGGTGGCACACATCTTTAATCCCAGCGCTCCAGTGGCAGAGGCAGGGGATCTCTGAGTTTGAGGCCAGCCTGGTCTACAGAGTTCGAGGACAGCCAGGGTGACACAGAGAAACCCTGTCTTGAATCCGCCTCCAAATAATTCAGTTTAATGTTTAACATCCCTCCCAGAGCTGAGAACTGAATGCATGGCCTCATGCATGTTAAACACACACTCTCCCAAACACACACTCTTCCACATTGACCATTCTTGTTTCCTCGTCTGTCCAGTCCTTACTGGTATCTTGTTCTCTTATGTGTGCATTACATATTCTAGGATGAGTCATTTAGTTACAAATATCTTCTTCCAGTTTGGAGCTCATGTTTCTATCACTTTATTTACATGCATACTCATGGAGGGGTTTTCTTGTTCATGTATGTAGGTACATGAGAGTGTTGGGGGAACATATTTGCATGCATGTGTAGAGGCCATAGGCTGAAGTTGATGTCTTCCTAGCTGGATCTCTGCTTATATATTGAGGTAGGTCTTTCACTTGAATCATAGCTAGCTAGCTCAAGGGGTTCTCTGACTTTGCCTCCCACGGGCTGGGATTGTAGGCAAGTTCCAGTTGGCCACCTGACATTTGCATGAGTCCTTATGCCTGCACTGTATCTCCTCAGCTCTTTTCTCACTTTAGTTTGGTATTTTCATTTTGTCATGGATACATTGTCTCTTTATATAGACATATAAACTTAAATAAAATATAACTTATTTTATTAATACTTTTTGCCTAGTTAGGTTTACTGCTGCTGTGATAAACACCATGACCAGGCTGGGCAGTGATGGTGCACGACCTTAATCCCAGCACTTGGGAGGCAGAGTCAGGTGGATCTCTGTGAGTGGAGGCCAGCCTGGTCTACAAAGCAAGCCAGGACAGGCACCAAAACTATACTGAGAAACCCTGTCTCGAAAAACCAAAACAAACAAACAAAACCAAAACAAACCCCACTATGACCAAAAGCAACTTGAGGAGGAAAGTGTTTATTTGGCTTACACTTCCATCCACATCACAGTCCATCACTGAAGGAAGTCAGGGCAGGAGCTGATGCAGAGGCTATGGAGAAGTTCCGCTTACCGACTTATTCCCTGTGGCTTGCTCAGCCTGCTTTCTTATAGAACCCAGGACCAGCACTCCTGGGATAGCACTGCTCAACAACAGACTGGGCCCTCCCTCATAAATCACTAATTAAGAAAAAGGAAATATCCTATAGGCTTGCTTACAGCCCGATCTCATGGAGGCATTCTCTTAATTGAGGTCCCCTCCTCTTAGATGACTCCAGCTTGTGTCAAGTTGACATAAAACTATCCAGCACACTTTGACGTTTATTTTGTGTGTAAGGGGAGCACTGTGTCATGGCACAGGTGTGGAAATGGGTGTGAAAATGTGGTTGTGGGTGTGGGAATGACGAGACATATGGAGATCAAAGGACATTGCAGGGGTTGGTTCTCTCCATCTATGATGTGAGTCCCAGGGATCAGACTCAGGCCACCAGGTCATCAGGCTTCACCGGCTGAGCCATCTAATGTGGTGATATATGGTGCACCCTAATAAACTTTGATGATCAGAGGACAGAACAAGCCACTAGATTAAACATAGAGGCCAGGCAGGGGTGGCACACACCTTTAATCCTAGCACTCGGGCGGCAGAGATCTGTCCAGATCTCTATGAGTTCAAAGCCACCCTGGACTACATGAGATTGGCTCAGGAGAGAAACAGAGCCAGGCAGTGGTGGCACACACTTTTAGTCCCAATACTTGGGAGTCCCATGGCTTTAATCCCAGCACTAGGAAAGCTGAGACAGGAAATGACATGACTGGGCAGAGAAAGGTATATAAGGCGTGAGGAGAAGGGAACTACAGGCTTTTCGGCAGAAGCCTCCCTTTCGGCTAGAGGCCCTTTCGGCTGGAGCTCTTTCAGGCTGAGGAGTTGGTGAGGTGAGAGGTGGTGGCTATGGCTCACTCTGCTTCTTAGGTCTTTCAGCTGTCACCCCAATATCTGGTTCCCGCTTTTGTTTTTTTAATTAAAAGACCTTTAGAAATTCATGTTACAATCTAATCAACACGGTTTTATATTTAAGAACTTTTTTTTTTCCAGCAGGGCAGTGGTGGCACATGCCTTTAACTCCAACACTCTGGATGAAGAGGCAGGTGAATCTCTGAGTTTGAGGCCAGCCTGATCTACAGAGTGAGTTCCAGGACAGCCAGGACTACACAGAGAGACCTCGTTTTGAAACATCAAAACCAAAAGGAGAAAGTAACTTTTTTCATTTTTATTTTATGCCTATGATTGTTTGCACGCATAGCTGTATACCATGTTCATGCAGTGCCTACAAAGGGCAGCAGGTCTCCTGGGACTGGAACTACAGGGGTTTGTGAACTGGCAGTTCATGTGGGTGCTGGAGGTGCTGAGAACCAAACCCAGGTCCTTTGGAAGAGCAGCCAGTGCTCTTACCTGCTGAGCCATCTCTCCAGTGGCTGCCCCACCATTTTACAGTTTTTGAAACAGGGTCTCACTGTGTAACCGGTGTTGACCTCAAATTCATGATCTTCCTGCCTCACTCTCCCAAGAGCTGAGATTACAGCCATGCCCATGATAATATAGTTTTTCTGTTATTAAAAAAACAAGATCAAACCAGAATACTCTCATGACCTTGAAATAATCCAAATCTTGTTTATTTAAAATGTTAACGTTTTACTTTTCACGTTTAAGTCTTTAATTCACATGAATTTGTTTTCTGTGCAGTAGGGGTCTAATTTCACTTTTGTTTATTTATTTATTTATTTATTTATTTATTTATTTATTTATTTATTTATCTGAGACAGGGTTTCTCTGTGTAACAGCCCTGGCTGTCCTGGAACTCTCTATGTAGAACAGGCTGGCCTCGAACTCACTGAGATCCACCTGCCTCTTCCTTCCGTGCTGGGATTAAAGGCATGTGCCATCACCAACTGGCCAATATCACTTCTTTTCCCAGTGGTTATCTGACTTTGTAGCAGTTTGTCAAAGAGCAAGCCATACCATCTCCTCCCATCTCCCCAAAAGCAACACGTCCTCAACAGACCAGGTTAATGTGTGTGCCGGCCGGTTTTGTGTCAATTCCCTGTTTGCAGACTTTTTCTATACATCTCTATTTCTTTAGAAATATTTTGGTCATCACATACTGGTAGCTAAGCAGGTTTCTATTTTACATAGGTCTGAATATTTTATTAGAAAATAGGAGATGTGTTGCAGCTCATCTGCTCTTTGCCCTCTTATCAGGGTACAATTTGTAAAAGGCTCAAGTTTCAGATTGAGTCAGCTCCCAGCAACCACAGCCCTCAGGGTAAAGGACAAATTTTAGTACAAAATGGAACCTTCACAATCCAGCAAGCATTGGGGATTATGTTAGACGTGGAGTAGTGCAGGTTTAGATCAAGCTCATTTTACAGACGAGAGCTGTCCAGTTCTCAGTGCCACTATGGCTTTGTGTGGTTTGTCAAGCCTCACGCGCCAGCCCTTCTCCCTGCTCCTTTAAGACCATGGCCTCAATCTCTCGATCTGCTCTCCGTCGCTGATTCTCTGCCGCCTGCTATTTGATTCTATTAAGAAACGCAGACTCGGAGGAAGATATAACATAGCCTTGGCTATACCGTGGGTCCATCAGCTCAGGCCCTACACCTCCCTCGTTCCTGCCTTTCTCAGGTCCTGCGACTACCCAGCACCTGTCTCCACTGACAACCTGGCAAGCTCTCCGGAGCCTTCTGCTGTCAGGGAACCGGCTGCATCTCAGCATCCTCCGCCGCCTGCCCTAGGGTTCTCAGGGACCACTAGGGGGTGCGCGGAGCTGCCAAGCACGCAGCTCCCTCTCCCGGCGCCCCGCCCCCGCCGGCCGCGGCTCCGCCCCTACCGGCGCCCCGCCCCGTCCGGCGCGGCCTCGCTCTCTGTTCTGCGGGAGCCTGGGACCCCCCCACCCCACGGCCTCGCCAGCTCTTCGGTCCGACTATGGGCCCTGCCGATCGCCCCGCGCTGAGGTCGCCACCGTCGCCGCCACCTCCTCCATCGCCGCCGTCACCGCTGCTGCTGCTGCTCCCCCTGTTGCCTCTGTGGTTGGGCCTGGCGGGGCCCGGGGCCGCGGCGGATGGCAGCGAGCCGGCGGCCCGGGCGGGGCGGGGCGGAGCCCGCACGGTGCGAGTGGACGTGAAGCTGCCGCGGCAGGACGCCCTGGTTTTGGAGGGCGTCAGGATCGGCCCTGAAGCGGACCCCGAGCCGCTGCTGGGCGGCCGCCTGCTGCTGGTGAGCTCAACCCTGCCAAGACATGCCCATGACCAACCACGCATAGACAGGGCTCCCCAGAATCCGTCTTCATCCTTGACAGCCCAGAGCCGCTCTTCCTGGCATTCAGGATTTCACAGACCTGAGATCCACATGCCCCTTCCAAACTCATTCCCACACCCTGACCTTGCAACCCCTGTCAGACCCTGGCTGCCTCTTCCGCTCCCCTTGCCTCCCTCTTCTCGTGGCTCCTCACACAGATGGACGTCGTGGATGCTGAGCAAGAGATACCTGTAGACGGCTGGATTGCAGTGGCATATGTGGGCAAAGAGCAAGCCGCCCAGTTCCACCAGGAGAATCGAGGCAGTGGCCGGAAGGCATGTCCCAAGGCCCTGGTCCAGCAGGTGCAAAGGGTTTTTGGAGGGAAGGGGAGAAAGGAAATGCTTTCATAACGTCTACTGGAGCCAGGCTACCAGGTGGCCTATGAGGAGCCTTCCAGAGAAGGCCTGGCTTGAGTCAGGAGACCCCGCTATGGAGCGTCAGAGCAGTGTGATGGGGAGGTGGAAGATGTGCTGAGGAAAGAGGACCTGTTCTCAGAATACATGATTGGAGTCAGCAAGGGTGGGGAGAATGCTTTGCCAGGACTAGGGCAAATGACAAGGTTTTTTGGATCCTACAGAACGGGAGGAATGGACGTTTCACACATACATGATACTGTGCAAATTTCTTAAAATCACAGATATTCCTTATGTAACTATGGTATCCGAAATTAGGAAAGTTAACATCTCTAAAATACTGTAATCTGCGTCTCATAATTCAAATTGCCTCAGTCCACAACCATCGGGTGTTACCTTTGGCTGTCAAATCTCTTCAGCTTTAGCTTTGGCTTGGCTTGAGGGAGCTTAGAGCTAGTCTATCCAGCGGTCAGGCTCCTGAGCGTGGGGGGGCCACGGGGAAGGCAGGTGTGGCAGCTTCTCCCCTTCCATTTTCTCTTGCAGATGCGCCGTGCCCTCTTCCTGGGGGCCTCTGCCCTGCTTCTCCTCATCCTAAACCATAGTGTGGTCCGAGAGGTAAACTGGAATGGGCTGTGAGGGTGAGCAGGTAAGGGGACAGGGGACCAAAGCCTGCTGACCTCCCTGTCTCCCGCAGCTGGACATATCTCAGCTTCTGCTCAGGCCAGTGATTGTCCTCCATTATTCTTCCAATGTCACCAAGCTGTTGGAGGCACTTCTGCAGTGAGTTGGGTTTGCTTTAGGTGGTCTGCTGCCTGGTGCTGTGGGTCTCTGAGTCCAGTGGGCACTTGGGGAAGAGGGTATCTCTGGAGAAGGCCTTTACCTGACCTGTTAGCCCTAAAACTACTGTCCAAGATTGAAAACAGGGGAGGAGGTGGGAAGGAAGAGGCAGGACCTGGGAAAAGAGTTGCCCTATGGACAGAGGGACCAGCCCAGCATGAGGAAGCTGGATGCCTGGTTGACAGGCTGTCCCTTGGTCTGGCTGGGTGAGAGCCAGGAAAGGCCTGGGAGCCGAACCAGAAGGCCTGCGACGACAATATCCTGGGGTACCCACCGCAGAACCAGGTAGATGAATCTGGGCCTCCCTTCCCAAGGGTCCTTCTCTCTGTCCTCTCACCCCCTCATCCCGTGATTCCTCCTCTCAGGAGGACCCAGGCTACTGCTGAGATCACCAGTAGAGAGTCCCTGTCAGCCAACATCGAGTGGAAATTGACATTGTGGACCACCTGTGGCCTCTCCAAGGACAGCTACGGAGGCTGGCAGGATTTGGTGTGCCTGGGAGGTGGTCAGGCTCAGGAGCAGGTAGGTGCCAGTGGATCCTAGGGCTGGAGGCTCGGGTGGGGACAAACGTATGCCTTAAAAGGACAACCCTGCATATCTTAGAGCTGACTACTTAGTGACATGGTACAGTGGACACTGAGGGGACACTTGGCCTAGGGTCGTGGGCAGTGGTAGCTGCTGATGTCTTGTTGCCCTCTGCACGGGAGTCTTCACAGCTCTGTATGTGTTCCGTTTATTTTCCATTGGGGAAGAACCCAGGGCATGTACATGCTGAGAAGTGTTCTCCTGCAGAGCTTTACCCGACTGCTCCTTTATTTCTAGTCTTATTTCCAAGTCCCGGCTCCCTTGCCTTACTCACCGGCTCCCGTATGCCCCTGACCTCCTGCCTCTGGGCCTTGCCCTGTCGGCCCCTGGTGTTCACTCCCCTTTTCTCTGACTACACGAGTCCTTGGATGGTGGAACTTTCTCAGCTCACCCCACCTTCCTGCTTTGGACCGTCTCCCCCTAGTCCTCTGCTCACAGCCTTTCTCCATCTGCTCAGTCAGAGCTGCGCTTTGCCAGACTGTCTCGGCATTCTTAGGAGATCCAACCTGGTATGTTGGAGAGAGTGACTTTGTGTCCACGTATCCTAGTGTTTAGCTTCCAAGAGTTCAATCCACAGCATTTCTTGAACCCTGGGCTGTATAAGTTGGGGGGAGGAAGACATACCCTGTCTCCTAGTGTGCAGCCTCCAGTAGTTCATGACAAGGACCGCACTGAATGATTTGAAGTCAGACAAGTTAAAACCCTGGCTCCTAAACCATAGCTGAACAACCCGAGGCCAAGTGTTTTCATTGCCCTCACACGCACACTCTCTGACGCTGGGGTGGACCGCACAGACCTCTGGGTGAAGGAGGCATCTGGTGAGGGGCAGGGGGAAAGGCAACATCTGGGAGAGGAGCAGGCTGGGAAAGGGCCTGATGGCCTGGAGGTGAGACTGTACAGTGTTTAGGACAGGCTGGCAGGGAACAGCTGCGAAGGAACTGCCAGCCAGGTTGGGGGTGGCCACGGCAGATGAGGCGTCCAAATGATAGCTGCCCTGATGAACAGTGGACGCCAAGCGCTGCCCCAGGTCCAGCTCCCACCCTGAGCTGGGAATCAGGAAGCTGTGCTGAACAGCACCTTGGCTGACTTATTGGAGGGGCCCTGCCTGTCCTCTTCCTGCCTTGGGCTTCCAGCCGGGTGCTTCAGAGCCCAGCTTCATCGTGACTCTGCCTTGGTGGCCATTCAGCACGCCTTGCTGCCCGGCCTGCCCCAGTGTAGCACAGGACACAGCCCAGTTGCCCCAGCCTGGGCTCTGGCTGGGGAGCAGATAGATACCGTCCTTCTGTAGGAGTGAACCACAAACCCTTCCAGGTCATAGCAAACGCACCTGAGCCCAACCTAGTGCTCCAGAGTTTCCTGGAACAGGTGCCACCACCCCGCTGTGATTAGAGGGGAGAGGGAGAGGATTATAGACGCCACTAAGGGATGACTCCAGTGCTTTGACCCCAAGCAAGGGCTACTTTCACAACCCCAACCTGGTCTAGGATGGTGGCTTTCTGTCTGCTTGCTTTAGTACCCCTCCCCTGCTGGGATGGGAGTTGAACCCGTGTTAGAAAGAGCAGTCCCAGGGAAGTACCAGACTTGCATAAGACTGTTAGGATGTCCCACCCTGTATGCTGTGACAAAGACAGAGCTACTGAGAAGCTGAGTTTTTAAGTGACGGTGTTTATTAGTTACAGCACAGCTAAGTTCTGTGGGAAACAGCGCACCTGTGTGGGAGAGCCCATGTGGCTTGCTTACTCTGCCTCCTCAGTTTCATCCCACAAAGACGGAGGCTACAATGTGGCCATGTCAGACTTTGTTCTCAGGCACTGAAAGGGCCTTGACGACTACCCAGGGCAGCATCAAGGCAGCCCATGGTCAGTGGGTATTAGGAGGGCTGGGCAGGGGGCATACTCACCCTGCGGGGCGGGGTGTGCTCCTGGAACAGTAGGCCAAAAGTGTTGAAAGGCCAAGGGCAAGGGCAAACAGTTTTCAAGAGGGGGGGATGGGGCAGGGCGTGGACATGACGAGGGAGAAGACAGTGAAGGAGGGCATGGTGTTGTCAGATTGCCGCACGAGTCCCTGGATGGGGCTGGGGTCTGTGTGCTGGTGGTTGGAGAGAGAAATGATCGCAGGATAGAGGCGTACCAGCGTCTGCAGCTTCAGGGCTGAACGTCAGCTTAGATTGGGGGGGGGGGGGGATGGTAGAGACTGAGAACATACCAGGAGGAAATCTACACTGGGAACAGAGTAGCAAAGGACTAAGGACAGATGTGGCTCCGCGCAGCTGGGGCAGACCCTGAGAAGCATGTGGGTAGGTGGGGTGGAGCCTGCAGAGACAGGCCCTCCGTGCATGTCACCTGCATTGTTACCAGTGTTCCTGGGGGTGGCGACTCCTGGGGGACGCATGTGGAGCCGCCCCAGAGCCCCCGACATCCTCTTCCCTCCCCAGAAGCCCCTGCAGCAGCTCTGGAACGCCATCTTGCTTGTGGCCATGCTCTTGTGCACAGGCCTTGTGGTTCAGGCCCAGCGGCAGGCATCAAGACAGAACCAGCAGGAGCCTGGAGGCCAGGTGGGAGCCGGATTGTGGAGGCCCTGGTGCCCACAGCCCTTGGGCCTGCAAGACTGTGGCCATCCTTTTCCCACAGGGGGATTTGTTTAAGCGCCGCGTGGTTCGGAGACTAGCATCCCTCAAGACCCGGCGCTGCCGGCTGAGCAGGACAGCCCACAGCCTTCCAGAGCCCGGCACTGAGACTTGTGCTGTTTGTCTAGATAACTTCTGTAACAAGCAGGTTAGTGCCTGGGCAAGGTCAGCCACCAGCTGACCTGTGGCATCCCAGATCCTGCTCCTGAGACCCTCAATACTCCAACCAGGACCTTCTTCCGGTCCTCATTATGGCTAACATAATGGGGAAGGCCCAGGAGTGCTCAGCGCTTAGCCCAGGCCAAGGGCACGGGTCTAGATCTGATCTAGAGCCTGTGCCCCTCCCCCACCCTGTAGTGGCTCCGGGTACTGCCCTGTAAGCATGAGTTCCACCGAGACTGCGTGGACCCCTGGCTGATGCTACAGCAGACCTGCCCACTATGCAAGTTCAATGTCCTGGGTGAGCATCAGGGGCAGGGGAGTCCTGGGCTAGCCGCCAGCCCCACCTGATCCCTCTCCCTGTTCTTCTTTCTCCCCTACAGGGAACCATTACTCAGATGACTAACTGCCCAAGTGGAGTTTCTACACTTTGGGATGGACCCTTCCCAGCCTACACTACAGGATAGTAGGTTGGACAGATCAACTAGCCCTATGGGCAAAGTCAAGACCCCGCCATACCCATGGTGGATAGGAGGGACTCACAGCCCCAGGCTGAAGCCACAGAGCCAGGACCCATCAGGCAAGGAGAAATCATTAGAGCCCTTCTCTGCAACCTTGGGATATCTGTCTGCTCTTATAGGCAGCTCCCAGAACCCGGAGGGAAAGAAAACATGGCCACTACATCTGTCTCCAGCATTCTGGGGCTTCTGTGATTGAATTTTATGCTATTTATTGGGGGATAGATTGAGGGAAAGATGTGTGGCTATGGGACCCGCTGGCATGACCCCAGGCTATAGCTTGGTCAAATCAAAGGTATAATGTTCAAATGAACCTCCTCCACTACCTGCTGCCTGTCCAGCCGGACGACTCCAGTCTGCCTGGGACCAGAGGCCTTAGAAACCATCTAGTGCTGTATTTCTTGGTTGGGCTAAATGTTACTGACCAGGATACTTGAAGCCACAGAATATATGTGGTGCATCTGCCAAGGGCATCGTTTAAAAAAACATTTGGGTAGGGAAGTTTTAATAGAAAAATAAACATGGAATATATTTTAACATAAGACATAAAATCTGTGCAGATGTTTTAAGATGTTAAGCAAGAGATGGGTATGTGGTGGTATATGCCGATAGTCCCAGAAACCTGGAGGCAGAGGCAGGAGGATTAAGAGTTCAAGGCCAGCTGGGCCTAATGGCATACCCCTTTCATCCCAGGACTGGGAAGGCAGAGGCAGGTGGATCTCTGAGTTCGCGGCCAGCCTGCTCTACAAAGCAAGTTCCAGGACAGCCAGGGCTACACAGAGAAACCCTGTCTCCAAAAACCAAAAGTTAATTAATTAAAAATTAAACAAAAAAGTTCAAGGCCAAACTGGGCTACTGGGCAGTCCATGCAATCTCTTTGTAGAAGGGAAACCAGAGGATCAGGAGTTCAAAATCATCCTCGGCTGCATAGTGGGTTTGAGGTCAGCCTTGGCCCCTCCCCAAAACAATCAAACAAAATAGCAGTCCCCTTGGCTTCTCCTGCTTGGAGCAGGGAGAATTCTTACAGTCCTCAAAACCTCGCATTCCTCTGCTGCGAGAGCATACCTTGCGTAATCTTTACAACATTGACTCTGAGAAGCTTAACCCCTGTGAGTAAGTTATATCAAACGGCCTGCAGACGAGAAAGGCAAGGCTGGGGCATGGCTCACTGGTAGAGCACTTGTCTAAGATGCACAAAGTCCTGTTGGATTCCCAGCACTAAACGGTGACAAGACAATGAAAAAGCATCAGGTCAGCACAGGAGCCCATGGGAAGCAGAGGCAAGTCAGAGACTGGAGGGGGATCTGTGTGGGAGACATACATTCTCTGCCTCCCCCCCCCTTTCTCTCTGTCTCTCCCTGTCTCTGTTTCTCCTCTCTGTCTCTGTCTCTCTCTCTCCAGGGTCTATATGTAGCTCTTGCTGTCCTGAAGCTTGCTTGCTCTGTAGCCCAGGCTGGCCTCAGACTCACAGAGATCTTCCTGCCTCTGCCTCCTGAGTGCTGGGATTAAAGGTGCGTGCCACCACCACCTGGCTCTACTGCTTTCTTGAAGACAGGCGGTACAAATCAGAAACCAGGCTAGAGCAGCGTGGCAATGGGGACCTCAGCCCCAAAGCCTGAGCCTAAGGATCAAGCTCTGCCACAGCCAGGAGTTTGTCAGAGGACTCTTCCCCAGAGTGTTCTAAAGGAGACATTTTGAATGATACCTTGATTTTTGACCTCTGAGCAGAGGACCTGGCCAAACAAACTGGACTTCTGAACTTTTTATTTGTTTCCTGTTGTTCTCTATTTGTCTGTCTGTCTGTCTATCTGTCTGTCTGAGTCAGGTCCTCCCTATACAGCAAAGGTTAGCCTTGAACTCTCAATCCTCCTGTTTGGGAAGGAGTCAGTGGAGGCCTGGGATGCTCAGTGGGAACAGGGCCTCTCTCAGGGAGCTGTGTCCAAAGCTGGCTCTCCCTGGCAGAGTGACTCAGAGCATCCGGTTTCCTCCAGAAACCCTGGGCTGTCAAGAGACGGAGTTGGGAGACCTGCCAACGCCAGCTCACTGCACATCCGGCTTCCTTTGGCTCTTCACTGTAAACTGAGGCACTCAACCTGATGGCCTCCTCATCACATAATAAATAATGCCACCTAGAAGGCCAGCAGAGTGTGACCTGAGAAATCCTCAGTAAGAATTTAGAGCCTGTCCTTCACAAACAAGGGGACTCCAGGCAGGCTAATGGCTTGCTTTAGAAAAATGACCACTGTGTGCATGGTGTGGCTGGTACATCCTTGCTTAGTGCCATGTCACCCTGAACTGGGTGAGCTCTCAAGTCTAATGCTCAGCAAACCATGGCTGGCTAAGGTGTCCAAAGGCCTGGGCTTACCTTCGGTGGCTTTGTGAGCCTTTGACCTCTAGGACCGAAGAGGGACCTCTCTGGTGTCCCTAATGGCAGCGAGCTCCTTGGTGAGCCACCTGGTGCCCTTGGGGCCTGCACCAGATGCAGAACCAAGGTGGAAGGCAAAGTACTGCTGTTCCCTGCCTGCCTTGCTGGACCAGAGACAAGGTCATGGCCTCTGGGTCCTTGTTTCAGATGCATCCTCACACCCCGAGCCCTACCCTAAGTGCTGGTCAGAAAACCCAGGGGTACCCCTCAAGCCCTTTCTATGGTGCTCTCTGTGTGCTCTCCCATAGTGCCTGTTAGGATGGAGACAGGAAGCTCCCACTCAATGGCAGGCCTCTATTGGCCAGTGACCTGCCTGGTGGGATCATAGAAGCCTTTGTCCAACGAAGAGGGAAGGTCTGTTCCCCCAGCTCAGCCACGCTGAGGCCAAGATCGCTGTGGGCAGATGGCTGGGGCTTTTATTCCACGGGAGATTGCTAGCCACCTGCCCTCCAGCCCTGCCCCTGCTTCGGGTTATGTGGGCCGCTCCTGGGGCTGATAGGTAGAGCCAGCCTGACCTCGGTTCGGTGAGAGTTTCCTCCTGAGCCTGGCCAAGGCCCGGATGGGGTTCTGGGTGCAGTTGGCTGAATAGGTTCTGTCTTCCAGAGAGGCTTTGCTGGGCCAGCTGCTGGGCTGCCGAGAGGGGGATGCTCGGGGCCCGCCTGGATGGGTTCTGCCTGTACTGCTTGTCCGGCTTCCAGAAAACTGCCGTCTGCCCATGGGCCTGAGGGAAGACAGGGACACCAAAATTCCCTGTGATCAAGGGGACCCTAGCACTTATCTGACCGACCTCAAGAAAAGCCTTACTCACCCTGGGGATGTACTCTGTGCCTGGGCTGAGGTTATCTCTCCCTGGGTGTCCTTGTAGGGAGGGGGCCAGAGCTGGCCCTGCGGGATCATCTGCAAAGAAGGTCAAGTTCATCAGGGCCCAGGAGCCCCTCCCTGAACTGCAGAGAGTGTCAAGATGGAGGGGGAGGCAGAATCCCCAGGCAAGCCCTCAGGTTCTCTTCACTAAGAGGCAGGGCTTGCGAAGCCATCCAAGGGCCAACCTAGCTGCGAAGCCTTGGACAGGTGATATATATTGACTCCGGAAGGAAAAGAATGAGGGGCTGTAGTGGGATTGTGAGCTGGAAGGCTCTGTCTTTCATAGTCTCATACCTTTTGACATATGGAAGAAGTTTTTCAAGTGTGGCCTAAAGCCACATGCCATGAGGCAGGTTCTCATGGCAGTCTCAAATCCTGCCTGGTAAGGACCCCTTCATATACCCAAGCCCCCCAAAGGCTCACTTTGAGGCCTCCCTGTTGGGCCACCTCTCGGATTTTGGTCAGCATGGACTGGAACCGCTTGTTCTCTTCCTGTAGGACCTGGATGCGGATATCATTGGCTTGCATCTGCCTCTCCATGTCATGGGTGACATTGCTAGAACCTGCAAAGACATTTGGGGCGCGACATCACTGGGCCTGCCTCTTGTGTCCAGTGGGACAGGACAGAGGCTGGGGAGGGGCAGCACCCAGGCATCCCATCACAGCTTCCTCTGGAGGCTCTTGTCCCTTCCTGTAGCCACCTACTGTAAAGGTGACATTACATTTTAGAATTGGTGAGCCCTCCAACTGCAGGTTTGGGTAGTGAGTAAAAGAATGGATCTTATTGAAGGTCACCTGTCTTTGGTCTGTCAGAGGGGTACTCTAGGTTGTGCAAAGGTACACTGGGGTTCACGTCACAGGAAGTCATCATGTATGTTCTTCCTTTCACGGTGTGGGGTTGATAGATGCCAGCTCCCAGCCCTACACACCTGAGCAAGTCGCCCGCCCATGCTAGATCTCAGTTTCCCGCTTCATAAGAAGGTTGTTGGGCTGGAGAGAAGGTGCAGTGAATGAGAGGACCGGGGTTCAACTCCCAGCACCCACATAGCAGCTCACATCCATCTAACTCTGGTTCCAGGGGATCTACCCCGTCTTCTGGCCTTCAGGCACCAGGAACCAACACAGTACATAGACATATATGTAGCCAAAACATCCACACACCAAAAAAAAAATTTTAAAATGTTTGTAGGGCTGGTGAGATGGCTCAGCAGGGAAGGAAAGATGCTGAAACCCAGCCTGACCACGTGAGTTTGGTCCTTGGACCCATATGGCAAAAGGAGAGAACCAACTTCCACAGCTGTCTTCTGACCACACTTGCGCCGTGGCAGGTGCACACACACACACAATGTCCAAAACCGGTTGTTAACAGGAATCCAGGTTAGCCTCCTGAGGCAGCCGTGGGCAGAGGAGGCGTGGCACTCAGTGCTCAGGAGTGAGCGACCACACTGTGAGCAGCTGAGCTACAGTGGATCTCGGATAGCTCTGGGGAGGGCGCCATCCACCCCAGGGCCTCAGAGACTGCCTGACAGGATCCTGTGCCAGTGGAGGCGCCCTGTGCTCCTACCCATGGGGTCCAAGACACTGAACAGCCAGGAGAAATGGCCTAGAAAATGGTCCCACGGTGGTATGACACCAGGAAAGGAAACCTGGGGAAGTTGAACAAGGACTGACGTGTGATGTCACAGATAACTAGGGCAGTTGTTCTCAACCTGTGGGTTGTGACCCCTTTGGGGGTCAAGTGACCCTTTCACAAGTGTCCTATATCAGATGTCCTTCATATCAGATAGTCACCTTATGCTTCATAACAGTAGCTGAATTCTAGTTATGAAGTAGCAGTGAAAATAACTGTATGGTTGGGGGTCACCACAACATGAGGAACTGTATTAAAGGGTCCCAGCATTAGGAAGGTTGAGAACCGCTGTACTAGGGTGAAAGGTGCAGTCACTTTGCCTTTGGGTTTTTGTGTGCTGTCTCCACAGAGAGGAGAACAACATAGGGAACCCTGTGGGTCATGGCGGCTCTAGAACACAGCTCACCCTCCTGCCCCCCCCCCCCCCATCTCCTCTTGCTGAGGGCGAGAACAGTACCGGGTCCCATCCAGGCCCCGCCCCGCCCCGCCCTCAGCAGTACCCCAGGCCCCGCCCCGCCCCGCCCTCAGCAGTACCCCAGGCCCCTACTGTGGGTCTGGGCCTCCGTGGGCTGGTGCAGGTCTGGGAAGGCCACCAGCAGTCGTTCCCGCTCCTTTAGCTCCTCTAGCTCCCGTCGCAGCTCGGAGATGGTCAGCCTCAGGTCTGTAGTTTCCTGCTCCAGGTCCTGCTTCTCCTGCTGCAGGCTCCGCAGCAGCTCCTGGGGCAAAGGCGAGCTTAGTCCTGGCTCTGAGCTCCCTTGGGGACACACGGGCCCAGGGACACTCTAACGGCAGGTTAGAGGCTCCTCAGCGAAGAGGGCTGCACCCCCCCCAGCCCACCGCACCTGCTGGGCCTGCAGCTGGCACTGTCCCTGTTCCCTGTCGCTCTGGAGACTCTTCAGCTGCTCCTCCAACTCTGCCCGCTGGACCTCGGCCTCATCCAGACTTCCCCGCAGCTCTTCCCGCTCCTGGTCCAGACTGTCCAGCTGCTGGAGCAGAGTCCTCTGCTTGGCCTGCAGGGACTAAATGGGAATGGATAGTCAGGGCTGATGAAAGGATGCTGGAGCCAAACTAGCCATCTGGGACTAAGGAGGCTGCGGGGTGGTGGCTAGGACCCTCTGCTCTGTTTGGGTGCACACAGATGTTTCACTGCAGAAGTCAGGCAGCAGGCAGACAGTCATTCAGTCAGGACACCGCCAGGACCCACTATTCCGAAAGCAATTGGATGACCCACTCATCCAGCTCCCACCCAAAGGATTCTGGGAAACAGGCTTTATTTCTTTTCATCAAGTCTCTGGTGTCACATTTGCCTCTATCATTGAGACCCAAATATCCTGGCACCCATTGGCTCTGCCTCTCGGTAGCTGTGTGGCCTCAGGGCAACTTCTTTAGCCTCACCACGCCTCAGTTTCTCCATTCATAAAATGGAGCACATCGGGAGTATCTACCTTCTCCTATCGTGAGAGGGAACAGGGGTAAGAGGGCTGCAGAGGCTGAAGCCCAGTGCCTGGATTGTAGGCCTCACCTCCTGATGACGGACCATGCTGTCGACTCGGGCCTTCTCCTTGTCCAGCTCTGTGCTGGCCCAGCGGATCTGCTTGCCAGCTCCATCCAGCCGCCCTGCCAGCAGCTGCACTTGCTCCTCCAGCTGCTGCACTTGCTTCTCAGCGGCCGCCCTGCGCTCACCTTCCTCCTCCAGCCGCTGGGCCTTTGCCGCTGCAGGGTTGGGTGAGCAGATAGAAAAGGGATTGGGTAAAGGAGCTCTGAGTGAGAATCTCTGACTGGACTAAGGGGAGATCACATCACAGATCTGAAGCCCAGACCACAGCATGGGGCCCTGGACCCCCTGAGGTGGGTCTGGACTACAGACGGCACTTTCTGCCCACTGAAGTTGAGACTCCAGCTTGGACCATCACCAACAGTACAGTCAGAATCTTTCTCCTATGGTTCCCACTGTCTGCCCTAGAAGCTTGGAATGGAAACGGAGGTCCATGTCCAGCTATACAGTGAGTTGGCGATGTGGATGGGGTCACACAAAGGGGCGTCTTACCCATGGCCTGCATGGACTTCTGCTGCTGCTTCAGGTCTCCCTCCAGAATGGCCACCTTTGTCTTTAGGTCACACGTTTCTACGGCAGCCAAGAGAGAGGCCTTTCAGAGGATCACTTGGGCCTATGGCCTTTAAGGCCAGTGCACCCTGTGGAGTGGAGGCAATCATCCAGTGTGCAGGGGCTGCTTGAGAGAGGCCTGGGGTAATCCTAGGAGGCCTGGGGCCCTGGCGTGCTCCACTGGCTGGCTGCTGGATTACCTAGGCCTCTCTGGACCCAGTGATCTACATGGAGGCAATGGAGAGGCTCAGAAAGGACATTGACTACTTGCCCTAAGCCCTCGGCTGGTAACAGTGGGCAACGGTACCTTCCTTTTGCCCAAGAGCTTCTACTAAAGCCAAGAGGAGCTGGGGCTAAGGGGTCTCCCTGCAGGTACCTTTAGTGACCACCAGGAGAGAATGATGGATTAACACCCCAGCCCTCTCCCCTTCTGATGGACAAGTCTGAGGCTCAGGTGCTACCCAGACCTCCAGTACTCCCGAAGGAGACAGCGCCAGCCGCTCACAGGGTTGCCAGCTGGATGCCTACACCCTTCTTGCTGCCTTCCTTCCCTGGAACTCTTGCCCGCTCCCCAACCAGGGTTTCTTCCATGCAGACTATCAGGACTCGAAGCCTGGTCTCTGGGGGGGAGGAGGGATGACCGTCCTGAGGTTATGGCAGGGTCTGGCCTCTGGGGAGTAGACCTGTGAGCAGCTGGCGCCTGTCCTGCTCGCACTTGGCCAGGCTCCGCTCAGCCTCCTCTGTCTGCCGCTGTCGCTCTCCTTTCTCCTGCTGCAGGGCCTGCTCCAGCCTGCCCACCTGCTTCCGTAGTCCATCCTTCTGCCCCTCAGCCTCTTCCAGCTGGGTCCTGAGGGGCCCCACAAGCTGGGTGAGGGCCCCCACGTGCTTACTGAGCCGAGTCAGATCTTTGCTCTGCTCTGCTGCCCAGTGGCCCACGGTGGCAGCCGGCAGTGGCTTCAGCCCCATGCTGTCCTGCACCAGCTTCTGGAACTGGCCCAAGGACGAAGGCAAGTTTTGGCTCTGACACAGGCTGATGACCACCTTGCCCACCTCCCACAAGCTGCCCTGGACACTGGTGCAAGCATCACAGGGCACCAAGGCTGTCTCAATGGTCTGAGAGTGGACGCTCTTGGTTTTCTCAGAGGTCCCCGCCGGGCCCCGCAGAGAGACTCTGACAGGGATGCTCTGTAGCCCTTGGCAGATCATGGGCAAGCCTGCCACTGGGGAAGGAGGCTTGATGAACTTGGCAGTCATGCCTTCGGGGCTCCTGGCTGGTTCACCCTTGGCCGTGGGCTTGGCGATAGGAATCTCCCCTTGGTTTGCTCTTTTCTGGGGTCAGGAAAAGAAAGGGAAGGCAGGTGAGAGAGATGGGCGTGAGAGGTAAGCAGTTCCCCGGAGATGTTGGTGACAGCCTTGCCCAGTGCTCAGACCTTCAGATGTTGTGTGGCACCCACACAAATCACAGAGAACCTTCTCCCTTTCTCTGTGACTCAACCCAGCCCTGGCCTCCTGCTCCGCCCCCAGGCTTTACATGGTTAAATGTGCATGGTACTGGGAGGGTAATGGTGGCAGTTACAGCGAATTCTTACTGCGCTCTTGATTGCGCTCAGGCCACTATAACCACTCTGTTTTAGACTCCTCTCCCTCACAGTGATGGTGACCTTCCTAACTGGGTGACTGTGAGGATTATGGGATAATCTGTTATCAAATGGGGCTCATATAAAACCCGTTGTATAGATAAACAAACATTCAGAGTGGGAAGGCATTTCCCAAAGTCCCACTGTGTAAATAGCAAAGCCAGGGAGCCAGACTTGACCCCCCAAGGCCTGCTTTCTTAACTGCTAAGCCCATGGGACTTGAAGGGGAGGTTCTAGAATTTGAATGCTCCAGCTGGGCAGTGGAGAGCCCGCGAAGGACACAGTGCATGCAGTGACAGTAGGAAGCCAGAATTGTAACAGTATGTGAGGGTGACCATAGTCAGGGGCCAAGATGACCCACCTGGGGGACTGCCTGCTGGTAGAGCATGCCCAGCCTCAGCAGGTTGCTCCAGAAGCGGCGTACTGTGAGCCCCACAGACATGCATGGTCCTGCTGCTCGGGTAGGAGGCATCATCTGCTCCAAACTGAGGTTTTCCAGGTAGCTGGCACAGCTCTGAAGCAGCAGCAGGAGCCTGTGGGCAGAGTTACTAGGTGGGCTGGGGCCAACGCTGGTGCTAATACAGTCTTCATACAACTGGAGGCTTTGAGCTCTGGGGGACTGACCTGGACACCAAGGGCCTAGAGGGAGTCCGTGTCAGCTTCATGCTCAAACCGGGGGCCACCTCCTATCCCGTGCCCTCATCCTAGTTGGAAGTACTTTCTGCTTCGTGGTTCCCCACTTGACCAAGAAGCTGAGGGAAGGCAGCTTGGCTCAGAAAGTTCTGGGGGAGTAGCACCCTACTTTAATAAGAGGAGCCCAAAGTCACAGGGTAAGTAGGGCCGGGCAAGGGCATGTGCACGTTTTCCTGGTTCCTGTTGGGGGGGGGGCGGTCAGCCTCTGTGACAATTGGGACTTGGGGTACAGACAGCTAGGTCTCTTTAAGCCAACCTCCAAGTTCAAGTTTAGAGTCAAACGAATGCTAGGGAAAGGGGATGCTGGAAAGTGTGCCTTGGCATGGCCAAGACTTACCTTACAGGCAGAACTGTACGTTTGCAACACATACATGGAAGGAGGTAGGGGGTGGCAGGAGGCCCGAGGCCTGGAGGAGGAGGTACCCACTGCATGACCCTCTGGGCCACGCAAACAGTAACACTGGGGAATCAGGACACAGCAGGGAATTCAGCAGAGCAGTCTGGGTTCTCAGACAGCCACCTGTGGTGGGGGATGCTGTGATACGCATAGCCTTAGTCATGGTTCCACCATTGACATGTCCTGAGCCTCCAGAATGTCATACTGTGGGCTAGAGGCCACGGCCTTCCCGCTAGGGTTCCCAGGCTAAGCTTAGATTCAGTGGCCTCTCGCAGGAGTTACTTTTATACACAGCAGTCAGCTCTACACAAAGGAGGCCAGTACTAACTCGGAAGTAGACCATCCTCAGCCAGGGAGGGTGGGGGAGGTGTGTCAGCAACAGCTTTACAGGAAGGAGGTGAGTGACTGGGACCTTGGTGGGTGAAGGGGTGCTCTGCTGGAGCAGGAAGGGCTTAGCAGGGCAGGCCTAGACGCCTGCTTGCTCTGGGAGAGGAAGTGTTCCGTACTCACACCCATCCAGCCCTTCGGAAGATGCAAACACTGCTTTCATACTCAAGACTCCTCCAAGCCTTACAGGAGTACTCTGTCTTTTCTATCTCTAGACAGGTCAGTCCTCAATGTTTCTGATGCCCATTGGTCCCTGACAGCTTTGCTGGCATGAACGGTCTTTGAGTGCCAGAAGCCCGGGTTGTGTTCCCACGAGGAAACTTTAATGAGAGTGTAGAGATGGTGGGGCGACAGGGGAGCAACTGGGCTCTTCCTAGCAGGGCCAGGGGTGGGAAAAACATCCTCCGCCCTGTTTCCTGCCTTGTGAGGCACAGAGGGAACATAGCCCACAAAATGCCAGAGCCTGGGATGAGAATGCTAAGCAGCAGCTGTAGTGTTCCTGACACACAGAAACCTGAGGTGACAGCAGGCAGAGCTGTGGTATTGTGGGGACCAACAGCACAGGACAGAAGCGGGGTAAGGACAAGAACTCCCTGAGGTAGACGGGCTAGGGCAGCATAGTACAGCACACAATAGAAAGTGGGGTTACTCTGAGGGTCCTGAGTTGTGGCCCCTGACCTGTATAGTCAGTCCAGGGTTGACCGTTGTTCCCCATGTTGTCAGTGTGTCTAGAAACAGCTCCTACTGGTGCAAGGGGCGGGTTTGGCCCAGGCCTTACCTGTCAATGACCAGCTCCAGCAGCACAGCGTGGGACAACTGTGTGAACTCAGGGTCACCTGGCACATGGTCGTAGTGCTCCAGGAGGGCCACCATATCAAGATCACAGGCCAAACGGTCAGGGAACTTCCAGGATGGGAAACGCACAGGCCCAGCCCGGGAGAACACTTCCACAATGGTGCCCTGCAGGTCGGTGAGGTCCTTGCGCAGGCTGTCCATGCAGGCCTGGCTGCCCAGCAGGTGTGCCATCCCCACGGCTCCTGGGGCTGAGTGAGGAACCACGGTCAGCCAAAGTGATGTGGCTATTGCCTGGAGAACCTTATAAACCCCCTGACCTGTCTCGGTATTCCAGATCCCAAATCCACCTCTGATTTTAAGGAGAAATCCTGAGTGACAGGCCTTTTAGAACCTGGTTCTGGATGTCTCGGCCAGCCTCCCTTTCACCTACCCAGCCCTGGGGCCACCCTCCCTCCAGAGAACCTGTGTGGCCCAGGCCCCCTTGCTATATGGAGACAGGAAGTCTTCTACCTGTAGGGAACTGAGGAAGCCATGAATAAGTGAAGTCCTAAATGAATGGATGCTATTGATATGGGCACAGTAACATCAAGGACTCCAGAGCCTCAGCCCAGAGGGAAATGGCAAAGCCTTCCTTGGGGTACTGAGTGCCAGTGTTGACAGTATATTCAGACTATACCCACCATAGCTTTCTCCCCCTGAATGTTTACAGCCTGAGTATGGCCTCCCTAATGAGACTGTGCCTACCAAGATTAGCTAAACTGTAGTTGAAGTTTCTCTCCTGTGTCTTGCCAGGTCCCGTGGTCCCATAGTCCCACCGCCACTCAGACCCAAATGAACACACCGAGGCTTAATATTAATTAAAACTGCTCGACCATTATTAGCTCAGGCTAACTACTAACTAGCTCTTACACTTAAACTCAGCCCATTTCTGTTAATCTATATGTCGCCACATTCTCCTTGGCTTTACCTGTGTGTCATTACATGCTGCTCCCTAGATGGTGTCCTGGCATCTCCTGACTCAGCCTTCCACTTCCCAGAATTCTCCTTGTCTGTTTAGCCAGCCTATACTTCCTGCCTGGCTACTTGCCAATCAACTTTTTATTTATCCACCAATCAGAGCAACACATTCACAGCATACAGAACATCCCATAGCACTAAACCTGTCTCCTTGATCCACCTATATACCATAAGCCCTGCCTCCTTGTGTGTCTATAAGAACCCTGCCTCCTTGTTCAGCTGTATGCAATAACCTTGCCTCCCTGTCCAACTCTATGAACACGCTGGGCTCCTGGGATACTGCCGTTTCTCCATCCTAAGCCCAGCTTTCCTTTATGCCTGTCTTTTCATCACACGCTGTCTCTGCTCCCAGGCAGGGCCAAGTCTGGAGTCATGCTAGATACGCTATCTACCTTTCCCTCTGACACAGCCAAAACACATCATAGCTTCAGCATGACAGGGAATGCTAGGCTCCACCCCACCTTACCATCACCGCACCCCTACCATCACCCCACCCCTACCATCACCGCACCCCTACCATCACCGCACCCCTACCATCACCGCACCCCTACCATCACCCCACCCCTACCATCACCGCACCCCTGTAAACACATGGACTGTGCCCTCTGAGCTCATTACTGTATGACCTAGTCACCAAGTCTGAGACCTGGGGCTAAAAGTGCTGGGAAACTCAGAGGGGTGCTGGGGTCTGGAGTGGACTCTGGGTTTCCCAGAGGACTAGTTCTGCCCTTACCTCTCACAGATGTCTGCCCATGAAGCTGGAGTGACCGACTATGTCCACCTCTTGGACTCGGCTCTGAGGTCTGGGGCTCGTGCCGCTGCCTGGCTTTCTGGCTCTGGGCTTCCTGGTTCAGGTGTAGGGCTGGCCGCAAGCGGCCCTCCCATCCCTAGGAATGGATACACAACAGAGTGAGTGAGCACACAGGACGGCTTCCTAGGAGACTGCGTGGAAGCTGCCTGCCTACAAGAAGACATGTCCCAGGCTGGAGGAAGGGGATGAGGAAAAAGTGTACATGGGGAGTATACATGCCTTCAGCCTGACCACAGGAGTGCTACTCCCCCCAAATCTGTCCCCTTTATATATAACTGGAACCCAGAGAAATCACTCAGGCAGCGGGAGTTCTTAGTCTCCTCTCTTTCTTCCATCCTTAGGCCATGCTGCTTCTAGAACAGCCATGTCCAAAAGAAGTATAATGCAAGGAATGGGGGCTTGGAAATGGAGAGAACAGCAGAAGCACAGAGCTCGCTTTCCTTTCCCCTCGCCGTTCCCTGGAAAGGTTGCAAAACTCAGGGACACTGACTCCCCTCCCTTCTTCACTGAAGACCTCACATGATAGGCATCCTGTAGAAAATAAGGATATCACAGGAGAGTGAAAAGAAAGATCTGGAGTCAGTGAGATGGCTCAGCAGGTAAAACATTTGCCACCCAAGGATGACAACCTGAGTTCGATTCTTAGAACTCAGATGGTACAAGGAGAACATCAGTTCACAAAAGCTGTCCTCTGACCTCCACACATGCACTGTGACACATGCATGTGTGTTTGCGTACATCAGCACATATTATAATAGCAAACAAGTACTTTTTTTTGGTTTTTGTTTTTGTTTTTGTTTTTTTTCAAGACAGGATTTCTCTGTGAAGCAGTCCTGGCTGTCCTGGAACTCACTCTGTAGACCAGGCTGGCCTTGAACTCACAGAGATCCACTTGTCTCTTCCTCCTAAGTGCTGGGATTAAAGGCGTGTGCCACCACTGCATGCACCACCACTGCAAGCTACAAGTAAAATTTTTTAAAAAGAAAAAAAATGCAACAGTCTCTTTTGGTTTGAATGTGAATTGTCTCCCACGGGCATGTGTATTGGTTGCTTGGTTGCCCACTGGTGAGCTGCGGAGAGGTGACTAGACCTGGAAGGTTTTGATGTAGTCAATGGGTTCATCCTCTCCTAGATATATAATACAATGGCATTACTGAGAGGAAGTAGAAAGTTGAAGGTGGGGCCTGGTATGAAGAAGAAGGCCATTGCAAGTGTGTCCCTGGGGGCCATGCCTTGCCCTGGCCCTTCCTGTTTTCCCTCTCTGCTTCCTGTCTGTCAAGGGGTGAAGAGCCTCCTCCTCCACATGCTCCTGGTCTCAGAACCAGAGAGCCAAAATGACTCCCCCTTTAAGCACCAAGAAAAGATGTCCTATGTGTCCCCTCTTTATCACTGTTCGAGCATAGACTTTTATCCTCCAATTATATATATAACTTTTACATGACTGTCCATAAAAATACAAAGATGTCCTGGTGTCTTTTGGGTCTTTGTTTCTGAAAGTTCCAAAACATGGAAAGTTATTTATTATTTATTTATTTTAAAGAATGTGGTGGTTTGAATGAGAATGGTCCCCACAGGCTCACATGTTTGGGTCCCATTTAATGTTACTGTTTGGGAAGGATTAAGGAAGTGTGGCCTTGTTGAAGGAGGTGTGTCACTGGGGATGAGCTTTTAGGTTTCAAAAGGCCCAGCCTGGATCTCCCTCTGCCTGCATCTTTCGGATCAGATATGGATTCTCAGCTACTGCTCCAGCATCATGCTGCCTGCCTCCACCATGATTCCCATCCGAATGATCATGGATTCAACCTCTGAAGCTGTAAGCAAGCCTTCAACTAAATGCATCTTTCTTTAATTTTTTTTTTTGTTGTTTTTTTGTTTTTAGAGATAGGATTTCTCCATGTAGTTTTGGTGCTTGTCCTGGATCTCACTCTGTAGAGGAGGCTGGCCTCGAACTCACAGAGATCCCTCTGCCTCTGCCTCCTGAGTGCTGGGATTAAAGGCGTGAGCCACCACCGCCTGGCTAAATGCATCTTTCTATAAGCTGCCTTGGTCATGGTGTTTCTTCCCACCAATAAAACAGTAACTAAGACAAAGCATTTAAAATTTTAATTATTTATCGTATTTTATGTTTATGAATGATTTGCCTGGAGGTATACAAGTGCAACATTTACCTACCTGATATCTTCTGGGTTAGAAAAGGACATCAGATACTCTAGAACTGGAGTTATCAGTAGTTGTAAGCCATATGAGGGTGCCGGAAACTAAACCTGGGTCCTTTGCAAGAGTAGCCAGTACTCTTAACCTCTGAGTAATCTTTCAGCTCTCATAGAAAAACTTCTATTAAATACATTTTTATGCCTTTCTATCTTTTTTTTTTTAATAGGGTTTCACTATGTAGCCTTAGTTGGTTTGGAGCTTGCCATATAGACTAGACTGGCCTCCAACTCAGAAATCCACCTGCCTCTGCCTCCCAAGTGCTAGGATTAAAGGTTTGTATATGTAGCTCTGCTTTTCTTTTTCTTTCTTCCTTTCTTTCTTTCTTTCTTTCTTTCTTTCTTTCTTTCTTTCTTTCTTTCTTTCTTTCTTTCTTTCTTTCTTTCTTCCTTCCTTCCTTCCTTCCTTC